CACTTCCGATCGGATCATAGCGATTTTCCGGTTCGGTTTACTTGGTCATCCTTTCTTCGCCCCGTCTGCCACCTCCCTCCATCAGTCGACTCCAGTCGAAACAGAACTGTCTACCCTTCGCGGCCGACACCCCGACGCTCCGATCGAAGTTTATTGCCTTTCGCTTGATCCTATTGTACGGTTGCGTCGTCGTCCGACCTCAGGTTAAAGGGCGTCATTCCTCTCAGAAGTCAAAAAAAAATAAAAAGTAAAAAACCCAGCTCATAAAAAGAGGTCACTCTGGACCAAACCTTCGATTTCGTTGTTCAGGAGACGGACAATCGGCAACCTGCCATTTGCGACCGCATAGCCCTTTGAGACAACAAGGAAATAGATTGCACAGTCTGCGGGACGGCTGCCGCTTCCATCACTGTACAGAGTCTCCCGGAGTCGTGCTGACGACTTCCCTACACACTTTTGCAGCAGACATTCTTGCTTCACCCCGGCTGGGGAGCGTGGGCACGGCACTTCGCCAGATACAATACGAGATTTCTTTCTTCGTGTTGTGACCAGGCTTTCAAAAGTCGGTATTGACATGATTTCTGCAGCCGAATCCAAGTCTAACGGGATGGCGGCTTCTTCGACATTTTCTTACGCGCAAGCGGCCAAGGGACAGAGCGCGTCCCCTTCAACCGCTTCACCAAATGTTGTCTCGCAGCCTCAAGGTGCCGCGTCCCCCGTGACGCCCGATGCTCCCGCCGAGTCCTTGGACGTTTCACGCCCCACCGAATCCCGCCCCCTTGTGGCAGTTGAGAAGCAAGATGTTGACAGCAATATCGGTTCCGAGAGCGATCTGCGCTCCGAGACGACTACCGACAGACGCTCCGAATTGAGACGAGATGACGATTCCGGAAGGCTAGACCGGCCTTGGAGGAGGACAGACAAGGGCACGAGATCCTCGAGCACAGCTACAGGGTCTGTTGACGAGCAGGAGTCAAGGAAACCTCGCAAGGGCAAGAAGTCCAAGGCATCATCAGATAAACAGTCCAATGATCAGGCATCAGCAGCCGATAAGGAGAAAGAGACTGCACAGCAAGCTGGCAAGGTCGAGTTGTCTGAGGCACCCATTCCCTCAGTCAACATTTGGCACCAGCGCAAGGAGCAACACTCCAGGGCTAAAGCGTCTCCCTCCGAGGGCATACCCAATGGTACTTCCAGCCATGATGGCGAGGTAAAGAAGCCCGCCAAGGACTCTGTCTCTGCAAATTCAACGAAGGAAAACGCGCCCACCAACGGCGCCAAGTCAAATCGTAAGAATGGCGACCCTGCTCGTTCAGACCGAAACGGTAGCCGGGGCTCTCGGATAGCCGAAAAGGATACCAAGACTGCGCTACCTCCGCCAGTGGAAGATGCTGCTTCCTGGCCTACACCTGAAATTGCCATCAAGGAAGAGCAGAAGAAGCCCGCTGCTACCAAGCCTGCTCCGGCTCAAGAAAAAGAGCCCCAAGATGATGCATCCCATAACAAGCGAACCAAGGAGAAGTGGGTTGCTTATGACTATGTGCCGTCAGTCAACTTCGAGACCCAGCTGCCGCAGATGCGCAACTCCAAGCCTCGTGGTGGTGCCCGCAGCGCCAACAGTAGCCGAACTGCCCCCAATGGTGCTCAGTCTAGTGACAAGGCCTCCGCCTTTGCTGCCCCTAGCAAGCCTGCCGAGTCTAAGGACAGGGCTAAGGATAATACTGCTGGTGCTAACAAAAATGCATCGCTTCCTCCGGCCTCCAAACGGGCTTCGGCGGACGTCAACACTGCTGCTAAGGAGCAAAAGAAAGCGACCGCCCATTCAGGTAACGACAAGGCGAAAGATGTCGCTACAGCACAATCTTCTGTAAGTTTTCTCTGGTTTAATCCCGGGCACGGTCTCACATCACGTCCGAGACCACCACGCTACAAGAAAAATCACACTGACTTTTGACCAGCAGAACACTAATACTCGCTCCGAAGGCAGAGCTGAAAGAGGACGTGGAGGCTATCGCGGCCGGGGCGCTCATCACGCTATCAATACTCACTCGCAACACCAGCACAATGCTGCCGGCAACTTTTCCAACAACGGATCAGTGCCTGGAAGACCCCAGGGTCCTTACAGCCCTCCACCACGACAGGGCCCTCATGGCCAGGGTTACATGCCCCCTCCCCAGCGAGGTGGAAGAGGCCGCAATGGCGCTGGTAACAACTTCCACCGCATGTCTCTTCCCAACGGTACTACCCGCATCCCCCCTATTCAGACTCAGTTTGGCTCTTACGAGTATCCCATGCCTCCTATGTCGGCCATGTCATTTCAACAGCATCCCTTGTGGGACAGCATGTTGATGGCTGTACTTAAGAATCAGATCGAGTACTACTTTTCTATTGAAAACCTGTGCAAGGACATGTATTTGCGACAGCGCATGGACTCGCAAGGCTTTGTCAACCTGCATTTTATTGCCGCCTTCAAGCGTATTAGGGAACTTACCTCGGATGTGGCTCTGATTCGAACCGTTTGCGAAACATCTTCAGATCTCGACTTTGTGGTTGGCGAAGACGATATCGAGCGCTTGCGCCGCCGTAACGGCTGGCAGAGCTTCATCTTGCCGATGGAAGACCGCGATGAGTTCGCCCGTAACCCCGGCCCGGCACAGTTAACCTACAAGAACCGTCCTTTTAACTATGTCCCCCAATATAACGGGGCTATACCTGTGCCTTACGGAATGGCTCCCCCAGTGGGTTTCGCCCCGCATGGCGATGCTACATTTCAACAATTCGGAGAAGGCTTACCTTCTGGCCAAGCCGTAAATGGACTTGTAAATGGAAACGGCCACACCCATGGTAGCAGCACCCAGTTATCCGCTGATGTCCCAGACTTTTCTCCTTCCGGTTTGGCAGGGCGAGCCTCTGATGCTCCGAAGCATGCCTCTGACGCAACCAACGGTCTGACTAATGGAATCCATGCCGAGTAATGCAATGCAAGTCGAAAGACGAGTCGAAGAGGTGGGGTTCTGGGAAACGGGCCAAGGGCTCTATGAAGTGGGGTTGGAGCGGATTTGCACCCCGAAAATAGTCCCAAATTGTTGTTTTTGACAAGACCGTGCGAGAGGCTCAACGGGGTCTCATTGAGGAAGTCTCCCCAGCACATGCTGAGTGACCGATGGCAGACCGGATTCATCAACACGCTTCTAGTATATATTTTGGTATCAGTGTTGGTTTTTGTCTTCCAGCCTTGAGCATACATCGGATCCGAGACTTTTCATCGTCTTTTTTGTTGTTTTGTTTTGGCTCGTTGATACATGGAGGGGTTATCTGACTCGCGGCATCCCCAGCTAGGGTTAGCAGTACTAGGCGTCTCGGCGTGCCTCGGTATAATGGAAGCTAGAACCCAAGATGGACAAAGAGCCGACTTGAGTCTGGCGACTCTGTCATTCCGGTGGGAGGGTATGGCGTCGATTCGGCGCAAGTGTCGAGCTTTGAAATCTCCGTTCCTTTTTTTCCTCTTTACGGCTTTTTTGCATGGGAACATAGGCGACAGGAAGACTACGTGGCCGCTTTTTGCTTTCGGCGGCCCATATGGATGGAGAGTCGTAATAGGCTCTTTCAGTTTTCCATTTTATTTACGAGGACTCGGTCCGGAACTACGAGCACCTTGGCTTATCGGTGTTGATCGAGAGGATCCTCCCTTATCAAATCAAATCAATTCGACTTCTTGCACCGATGAGGATTTTGGTTTGAGGTTTCTTTTTTTTGGCTGGGGGCCACAGATGTGTGATAATACTTTACGTCGGTTGGTTTCAGTAGAGATGCATTACAGTTCTATCCCCAGAGTATCGCGTCCATACGTCGTTCCTTGATGCAGGCTACCGTCCAGCACCTGGGCTAGAGGGCAGGATTCACGGGGTCCATCTAGAATGGGGTCTGGGGCGTGAGAAGAGGCTTTTTTTTTTTTGGCCTCAGTCAGACCAGATTTTCACAGGGCCGTGGGCGTTTTCGCGAACAAGAAAAAACGCATTACAGAAGTGTATACAGAAAAGAGCGGGTGGAATAGCACAAAACACCAAAAGGGGGCATACAAAAAAGGCACATGAAATTCATCTTCTTCTTTTGTTTTCGCGCACGAAAGTGGACGAATGCTTCACAACAAAATCAAATCCATTGCTTGTTTATTCGATGCATATTTATTGTTTACTAGCCTATATTCCGCTCTTGTTGTGTTTGTCACGAAGAGTGGATTGGGAAACAATGTTGTTTTGAGGAGAGTCGGGGTCGTGAGAAGAGCTTTTTTTTTTTTGGCCTCAGTCAGACCAGATTTTCACAGGGCCGTGGGCGTTTTCGCGAACAAGAAAAAACGCATTACAGAAGTGTATACAGAAAAGAGCGGGTGGAATAGCACAAAACACCAAAAGGGGGCATACAAAAAAGGCACATGAAATTCATCTTCTTCTTTTGTTTTCGCGCACGAAAGTGGACGAATGCTTCACAACAAAATCAAATCCATTGCTTGTTTATTCGATGCATATTTATTGTTTACTAGCCTATATTCCGCTCTTGTTGTGTTTGTCACGAAGAGTGGATTGGGAAACAATGTTGTTTTGAGGAGAAGGCCCTCCTTTGTTGCTTTTCTTCAGTTTCTTGGAGACAGGAGAGAAAAAGAGAGGTCGAACTCTATACAGCCTTTTTTTTCCTTGAGAGCAACTTTTTCTGCTCTTTTTCTTTTCAATCATTTTTCTTTTCAAGTTTTTCAAGTCGGCATCATTTATTTCTTGCACAAAACACATTTGATGCTGGACAGCGTGGGTATGATGTTGCTGCGGCACTAGTTGTATTGTATGATACGATCAAAATAATGGAAAACCAGGCATTGAGTTTTGTACGCAGCAGTAGGGCGAGATTAAAAAGCGTGTCCTGTTTCATTGGTATATAGCTATCGATGTGCACATGTTCCATATTGTTATGTGGTCATGCTTGCGACCACTTTCAGATACGACGAAGAATTAAATAGCCACAGCCAGCCCAGCGAGAGCAATAACACCGGCAACGAGATTGCTTCCAAAGGCGGTAGGGGCAGCAGCCGGATTCGACGTGGTGCTAGGTGTGCCGGTGCTGGAACCGCTCCTCGTACCGGATTGCGTGGCACTCCCAGAAGCAGAAGAACCAGGGGCAGAGGAGCCTGGGGCAGAGGATCCCGAGGCAGAGGATCCTGGAGCGGAGGATCCTGGAGCGGAGGATCCTGGAGCGGTGACCCGTACTGAGGAAGTAATGGTTGGGGTGACGCCGCTATTCAATTAGCACAAGACGATAATGGTGTGCTGAGGAGGAAGCTTACCTAGTCGTCGGATCGGGCGTTATATGGCCCATGGTAGTTGGGGCAATCGTTTCGGAGGGCTGGGAGGCTCCCGAGGAGCCTGGCCCCGAGGCCGAGCCCGTAGAGACGGGGAGGATGGTGAAGACGGCGGTGGGAGTGGACTCGTTGGGCGTCGGCTGAGACGGGACAGAAAAGAGGCGGGTGCTGCGGCGTGTCAGTAGCTTGACTCTTGTGGCGGGCGATGACGCAAGGAGCCTGCTGACGACGGGCCAGTTGCGGCGAGAACTCGATCCCACCGTAAACATGGTGTTTTCGACGCCCAAGTGTGTTTTGTGCGGGGGAGGAAGAGGGAAACATACTCTTGCCGACGGACGCCCTGCGTGCAGCCAAGGCCAGCGAGCAAAGTGACTGCTGCGACGGAGTACTTCATGTTGGATATTTTTCTTTTTTATTTTATTTTCAAATAGGTGTTGTCATACGTTGAATGTCGACTGTCCGAAAGGGAGAAGGGAAAAGTTGTCAGGAAAGGTCGGTCGAGAAGTCCGGGTTCCAGCGTCGCAACATTCTTATATATATAACTGCCTGCCCGGTCTGGGCGGCGAACACCAAGGTGACAGGCCGTCGTGTCCCATTCGGGGCAGCCGGGTTGTCAGACCCGAAACAAACAAAACACACGGCATGATCAAGGGCCTGCGACGGGGGGGACAAAGAGAGCACTCGAGGGAGATGGGCAGAAAAGGTACCGATTGGCAGTGCTTGATACGAGCTGCCCTCGCGCATGGATGGCTGCCCCGGGCAGAGAGGGCCGGATTACGCACGCCGCATATCGTGCGTCGCCGAGAAAAGAAGTTGGGTTATTTATTTCAGGGATTTGCCGGTGGGGGGTCAACAAGTGAAATCGGGATAGAGGTTGCTGGGTGCTCGTGTTTTGGAGGGGAGGCTTCATCTGCGACCTGCCTGGATGGGCTATGATGAGCGTGGGCTCTGGGCTCTTTGCATTGAGAGGAGAGAGAGGTGTGCTCTTGGCGTTTTGGGGGGCAGCAGTTGACGGGGTTGACGGGGTTGACGGGGTATCATGGACTAGTAGGGTTTTTTTTTTTTTTTATTTTTTTTTTTTTAAATATCATGTTGGCTGAGTTTACGTGGTTGGTTTGTTGGGGTTGGGAGGAGAAGTTGCTTTCTCGACTTGGGATGGCGGTTGTACACGTCGTAGGGAATGATTATTCAGCGATTTTCGTGCTGACACCCAGGTCTTGTCAGACGGTGACATCACATTAGTGGCCTTGGCCATCAGGCTGTGGCGGGCGGGGCGGCAGTTGGAGTCACGATGCCACGCACCAACTTGATGCTTTGGAGGCAGTGCTTGTGGCTGGGGTGAGGCGACTACATGTAGCTGGACCGGTAGCTTGGAGACGTCAAATGGTGCCTTTTGCAGGACGACACCACGCAAAGAATGGATGACCTGCCAGTTGCTGTCTATATTTTCCATGTTTCCCCGTCGCAAGCAATGGCGGCCATGCCTGATGCACTCCCAAAAGTATTCTCCTTGAATCCGTACTTTGTTCATGTCCTCCATCCTTGGGAATGCATTCACAACAAGAATTGGGCTCTGGCAAGGATCAGGCAGCTCTGGAAAGTCCACTTGCTTCATGTCCAGTTCATATTCTCTCTCATTTGCCCAGCCACCTGACCCTTGCTTCACGCAGACACTTTGGCACCCAGATGGAAGCATGACCCCAGCAAAAGCCACCCCAGCGGGCGACCGGAGCCCCATTGAAATGACCTCCACCTTTTTCCTTTGTTCCAAGCCTTCTCCCGCCTCGCCATCAGGAAAAGTGAAGCCACCATGACGGCGGCGGGCGGCCCCCCAGGCACCCAGGCTGTGTGCCCCTCTTCTGTGGTCACAAATGTCGCCTCCCACCACTTTCTTCAACTAAGGAACTGGTCCAAACTCCGTCGACACCAGACCGACACTCTTATACTACGAGTACATCTTGTTTTCGAGGCCGATTCGTTTTCGTTTTTTGGGCAAGCGCATCCATTTCCGTTGCCCTTTTGTCGAGTCGCAAAGTGAGACGCACTGAGCAGCCAAGCAGGCAGTAGTATTATTTGTTATTACATCACCCCCCCAGCCCGCCGCTGGAAATGGCCAGCTACGACGCTTACGAGCGGGATAATCCCCGCCGCGGATACGTACGAGAGGACCGACGAGACGACAGAGATGCACGCTTCGTCGACTCTCGCGATTATGGAAGGCCCGTGCCGTCGAGAGAGCTAGTTCCTCGGGCCAGAGAGGACGGTGACTTGTCGGTTGAGGAAATCCGCCGAGACTTTCCCCCGCCCACCGGACGGGACATTCGCAGAGCCCGCTCTGCTGACCATGACCGTCACTATTATTACGAAGATGACTACGACTATCGCCATGACCCTCGCCATGACAGACCTCGCGAGCATGACCGCCACTCGCGCCACGGGACATTCTACTACGAGGAGGAGGAACGCAGGTCCAAGCACAAGAGCATGTCCAAGCAGGACAAGATCATTGCTGCCGTTGCCGGTGCTGCCCTGCTTGCCGGTGGCAAGGAAATTTACGACCGCTACGAAGCAAAGCAGGAGGGAATTGAAGTGCACCGCAACCCCCTCTCATCCGTTGCCCTCGCCGGGTTTGGCGCCCTGGCTGGTTATCAAGGTGCCGAGTTTTACAGCAAGCAACAGGCCAAGAGGGACCAGAAGACCAATTACATCCTCCACCGCGGGCGTGACGGGCAAATGAGCGAGTACTACTCTGAAGACGATGATGACAGGCACAAAAAGGGCCACAAGAACTTTCTCGAGAGTGCTCTCGCCGCCACGGGCCTCGGGGCTGCTGTCAAGACCCTAACCGGCGGAGGCAAGGACGATGATAAACACTCTGACAATCGAAGCCGTGGTGGTAGCCCGTCGCGGTCCCGCGCCGGCTCGCCCCGCTCCCGTTCCAGCGGCGCTGGAGCCAACAAGATGCAAAAGGCTGCCATGGCGTCTCTGCTGGCCGGCGCCACCGAAGCTTTCCGTGTGGCAAAGGAGCCCGGCGGTTGGAAAGGCGAGAAGACGAAGCGTATTCTCACCGCTGCTGCTGGCGCCGCTACTGTCGACGCTGCCCAGGGAGACAAGCATGGCAAATTGGGTCTCGCCGAGTCGGTTATCGGAGGTCTGGTCGGCAACCGTCTCATCAATGGTTCCAAGAAGGACATTGAGGAAGACAAAGCAACGGGACGAAGCCGATCCCGATCTCGGGCTCGCTCACAGAGCGGAGGCGGAGGCGGTGGTACCGGTCTTGCCGCCTTGGCCACCGCCGGCTTGGGTGCGCTGGGTGCAAAGGCAGCCCTAGATCACCGATCCCGATCCCGAAGCCGTGCTGGAAGCCGGGACCGAAGCTACGACTCTCGGGATGGGTCGCCCGACAGGAGGCACCGCAGTCGCAGTCGCAGTCGCAGTCGCAGCGTAGTCGACAAAGCTCGCAACAGCTTGGCCAAGCTGGGAATTGGTGGTGGAACTGTGGCTGCCACTGATGACCATCGACGCCGCGACCAAGACGACTTTGATGACCGAGCATCTTCACGACGGTCTCGAAGATACTCTGATGAATATAGCGACGACGGCCGATATGGAGGTGGCCGCGGCCGTGGAGGAGACGACTACGACTATGAGCGATCTCACCGCGGCGGCGGCCGGCGAGATTCGTCCCGTAGGCGAGGTGGGAGCCGGTACGGATCCGAGTCTGACCTGGGTGACTCGGACGAGGACGAGAGGAGGGCCAGAAAGATGAGAGGTAAGCAGGTTATTACTACTGGTCTTGCGACTGTTGCAACGATTCACGCAGCACATGAGGTTTATCAAAGCATGGAGAAGAGGAATGCACGTCAAAGGGCTGTCAAGGAAGGCCGTCTCAGCCCTGCCGAAGCCAAAAAGCTCAAGACCAAAGCCATCATGAAGGACGCAGCGTCTGTTGGCATTGCCGCCATGGGAATCAAAGGCGCCATCGAAGAGATGAAGGAGGCTAAGGAGATGACGCATGAGTGCAAAGTCTTCAAACAGGAAAGGGCTCTCCGTCACCAGAGACGAGAAGAGCGGCGCAAAAGAGCCATCCAACCGGGGGACAAACCCCGGCGAGCCGAGAGCTGGGCACCGCCCCGTTATCGTGACGAGGACGACCTCTACAGAGATGACTATGGACCACGGTATTACGACGATAATCCGTATGGCTCCAGCAGACTCCCTGCGCCCCCCATGGGTTCTGGCTGATGAGAGACATGTGCTCATCCGTGCTCTACACTTTTGATTACTGTAGAGTATACTAAACATGGCTGGTCAACAAAGTGAGGGGCATGTGGTATACTCTTTGACATGACTGAATGAGAAGGCGTCTCCTTATCGAGGGCTTCAGCAATCTCAGCGACATGTACACGAATTTCTTGTCGTGCTGGATTATTTTATTGCTTGAGCTTGGCGTTTTTTTCTTTTGCTCATTGCGACACTCCAGAAAACGGCACCGCATGATAATGAATGGATGCAATATCAAGAAAAAAAAGTGATGGCCTAGCTACTTTTCTCATGTGCTGCGTGGCGCGGGTAACTGCATTTTGAGCGAGGGTTCTGCTGCGGTGGTTCCTTTGACAGAGCTGTCGACATCACGGATCGCTCGGCATGCAACCTCTTTTTTTATCCCACAATGGTTACACTTGCTCGAATTATCATTTTCTTACCATCTGTCCACTAACACGTCGTTCTTTGTTCTTTGATTTTTTTTTTTCTCTTGATTTTCTTTCCCTACATTAAACGAATGGCTAATGACCATTTTTTGTGACAGATCGCCGTTACTAGTGCCTCAACTTTTTTTTGACCCAACGCGGACGAGAGACATTGGTTGCTGGGAAGACGAAGCGAGGCAGGGAGCCGAGGCACGCATCTTACGCGGCAGGCAATATTTAATGCATGTCAGGCGAGAGAATTTTGGTGCCGGGATTCCAAGGACCGTGTCAGCAAATGGACGGCATGAACGGAGGTGCAAAGTGAAGCACGAGGAGTGGAGGCAGACGTCATCGATCGCAAAAGTATGAAGGGGTTGTGCCTTGATTTGGCGGTGGGAGAGCGGAGGGTCGCGCCGCATGTCGCTGCATAACATGACACTCGGGAAAGTCGGCTGATTTTTTTTTTCTTTTTTTTTGTGACTAGGGGTTGATTTGAAGCAAGGTACAAGGAGAAGACGACAAAATAGCTGTGAGTGAGCAAGAAAGGTAAAATAGCAGGGCATCTGGGGGCTATCTCGTATTTTGCGCAACTTTCTTTGCGGGTGGGCTGACGGACTTGCTTACATGGCGTGCCTGCCTGTCTGCCTCCTTTTTTCAGTTCGATTTTAATGTTTTGCTTTTGTGTACTCTGATTGAACTGGTA